GTATAGTACAACAACTATTGATAATCTCCTACCTCTTTTGTCTGTAACTCACTATTATTTGTCTGTTTTCCTGAGAAATTATCTTGTAGATAACAATATGTAAAACAATAACCATTGATAATTTCCTACCACTTTGTCTGTAATTTGGTAAGCCCCCCCTATTATTATGTTATCCTTCTTTTTCTCTTTAAAATAAAAAATTAAATTAAATTAAATTAAAATTAAAAAAAATAAGTGGCTTTCACTTTCTGGTGCAATTTACACTGAACAGTGTTGACACACCTATTTTTATTCATCAGTCTTTTTTGATAACAGCTCAAACTATGGGCTTAATCACTTAACACGCCAATTGTTTAAATACAGGATGACCAAAAATTGTAGTTTTTTAGTTAATTTTAATAACAGGAAATATAAAAAATTTTGTCTCATAATTTCTGGATGTGATACACCTTTTTTTTGTTTTTTTTCTGGTACTGGGAATCTAACTCACGACCTTGCGCTTGCCAGGAAGGTGCTGTGGTGCTGAGCTAAATCCCCAGCCTGCGTGTGGTACATCTTAACACATTCAGTACACAATGCACCATTACAATCTGGACAATAGTACCTAGTCTCTGAATTCCTTTTGCATTGTCTTTCTCTGAGCACTCTTGACTGCTGTGTTGGCCTTTCCCTTACACCTGTGGATGGTATAATTTCAATAGAACATCTACCCCCTGCACATAATGGTGAAGTGGATGGTGGACTCTGGGGTTTCACTATCACATATTTTTCAATTACTTGGTCTGTGAGACCTAACTAAATTGTAAATGACTTTTTGACCCCCCCCCACCTTGTTTTAAATAAACAGTGAGTTCCATATTGCTTGGTCCAAAAGGTAATATTTTATAATTTTCCTTGTTTTCTCATTACAGGATAATGTATTAGATAATGGTCACCTCTGCCATCGCCACCCACAGTTATTATAATCATTGACCACTATTAGAAATTTTAAAGTTTTGTTTCTTCTTTCAAGTTCTATCATTTCTGTATTATGAATAGCTGACAACCTGGAAATGTCTTTACATTGCATAACACAGACTTTTCCTCTCTGATAGGCTAACATTTCTTCCTTTTTCAGCTTTTTCTTTTGCAAATCTTTTGGACTTTCTGTTTAGTCTCAGTGTCTCAAATATGTCTGTCTTATATTGTACAATTATCAAAGTTGTGGAGAAGTATAAAAAATTGACCATAATAAGTCAACGTCCCACATTCAAAAGTAGTTTCATCAGTGTCAAAATAATTACACATGGAATGATCTTTGTAATTATTACCAAGTACTACCCCCTTTGCAAACTATTGAAGACCAAATATACCCAGAT